GTTAGTGAGTGGCTAGTAAGCAGGACTTCAGAGAGGAACACTGGGAAGGACACCTGGTATCAAACTATATGAAGCTCTGTTGGCATCTTGAGGTGTCATAGAAGTGCTGGCGACTGCCTTCTGGGTGGCTGAGGCTTTCTTACCTTCAAGCCAGTATGTGACCATGTCTCCTTTCCCCTAAGAAAGAAAATTAGTCATGGGATTACAATGCTACCCATCATTTTTGTCAAAATCTTCTTCCTACTATTCAAAGCAAGTTCCAAAAGGAGATTGATGTGCCTGTCAGCCATTTTATATACAGGAAAACTGAGGCATAAATCGTTTGCTTAAAAGGTAGTGGCAGAGGTATCAATTAAAACAATTTTTTGAAGTCCCATCCAAAACTAGGTCCACAAGTGCGTTAGTACTTTTGTGGAACTTGTATGCTGATTTGTGATGTCACTGAATGACCTTTCTTGATTTCAAGCCATCATGACAGTGAATGTGCCATGCAGGACTTTCAAGCATGGTTGAGTCCTTCATCTCTGACTTATCAGGGTTGTCCTATGAACAAGCCCATGGTTGTTGAGTAGGTCCTGGTTTAAAGCTTGAACATGCTCTCTTCAGGAACAGGAAATAGTCTAACCAAAGGACTGTGAGACACAGAGGACTGCATGGGTTAAAATTCAGGGACTCTAGAGTACTTTTATGGTCTCCTCTCTGAAAAGATGGGTATAAATGTTGCAAACACACCTTGACTTGTAAATTCCCACGACATACTAACACATACTCTCCAATCTGCTCCAACAGCTGGTATGCACTTGAACTACACTGTATTTTAAGAGCTGGAAAGAAAGATAATTGTCATGTTATCAAACAATTTAAACATTTAAGACAGATCTGTGCTCCAATGTGTGCCAAAAACTTCAGGACTCATTAGTGACCTCTGGATTGCCTTTTATCATGTCTTTGCTGTCATTCCTCTGTTATTTGAAATGTTTGCTCACAAGCTCCAGTGTCCTGGCTTGTTTGTGAGAGCATCTCAGAACAAATACGTGGCTGTCAGAAAAGACTACTCTTCACATTCTCCGTCTAATAATATTTGTTTACACTTCTCAGCTGCCTGCCTGATGTTACTGATGAGCATCCTTTTCATTTGCTGAAGAAAAACATACATAGTTCTACCTCCTAGCCAATGAAGAGCCAGCACTTTCTTTGCACATATAGTTTTCAGCAAAGTCTAAACATTAAAGAAACTGACATACTTGCTCTGACTCCAAACCTGTAATTAAAAACAGGTGGAAGGGACAATATGGCTTTAATTCCACTAGTTTTTAACAATATGTGATTTTTCCTTAGTTGAGATTTTATCTTCATGTAGACCTTGGCTGTCTTGACTTTTGCAAATAATGGAGGATGGATCAAGGAGGATAGATAGAAGAAATTATGCTTTGGCCAGAAAGCAAAATTTTGCAAAAACTTTGAAATTTTGCAACAAAACTTGTTTTGTGAGGTTTTTGCCTGTAACATTGTGTCACAGAGTAAATCATTATTCTTCCTTGTTTGAAAAAGATCCCAGAGGACAGTAGGACTGTCAAAGATCATCTTATTGATTTTTCTTATATCAGAAAATGACAGTTTTATAAAATCCACTTTTGTTTGTTTGTTTAAATGGGTTTAATCACTGTCATAATTTGCCCATAGGTAGACTGAACCCAGAAATCAAGAATCTCCTTAAAGGATTTGCAATCATTTGAATAGGTCAGGACTCAAAACTCAGTATAACATTTTTTTAGAACTCGTTCAGGGATGATCGAAACCACAACTGCAGTTTGTTCCTTGTTACCTTCACTTGTAGATTCCATCCTGGAAGCTGTGTTCACAGTATCTCCAAATAAACAATACCGTGGCATTTTGGTTCCAACAACTCCAGCTACAACCGTCCCTGTTAAGAAAAAGAAAACTATATATTTCCTGTTTATAAATATCAGACATAATCAGTCATACAGCCCTATGACTGCTTCCTACATTACCTTTTATCTCATTCATTAGCAGGATAAATACTGAATGTCAGTATTGTCTTTATATGGGTTACACATTTGTCTTAGAAATGGCTTCCAGAACTGTGAAGGGACTTGCAAAAGGGACTCAGAGGACAACAGTGATGGAGGAGTGATGATGTGATGGATGTAGTGTGCATGAATTAAGGCATCTGCAAAACCATGTTTCAATATGACAACAGAATATTTTGAAGGGAAATGAGATGGGAATGCTGTCAATAGGAGTTGTGCACACAATGCTCACTAGTCACACAG